GGTCCACCCATAAGTTCCGCAACAATCCACTTGTTTGCACTCAAAAAATAACTTATTATATAAAGTCAGAATTTGTAAGGATTTCCACTTTTTATTAATTTGCCTTTTAACAGGAATTAGTAATGTTACTTTACCAAACTAGTAATATATTGTGATAAGTTATTCAAGTACAAACGAGTGGATTGTTGCGGAACTTATGGGTGGACCTCTATTCATCCTCTAGCCATTTATTCATCAATGTGTTGTTTAATTACGATACTAAACTGACTCACTCAAATGTGCGTTATTCTCATTAGTTTAAAAATTACACATTTCAGGTGAGTGTCTTATTTGAACAGTTTAACAGTATATTGGTGAGTAGATGGCTGCGGAACTCGCTGCGCTCGTCCCGTATAGAGGCATAAGTTCCGCAATATTCCACTTATTTGTACAGGGTGTTTTTTTATATATTGACACCCCACCTACAGCCTTTACCTTTACAGGTAGAAGAAAGGTGTAAATACAAAAGTTGTATAGTTTTGGCTGAATTTTTAGAAACCATGGTCAGAAACAAAATTTGAATGTCAGAATTGTGAAATTTTGCATGCTTCCAGCTTTTTTCAAATGGGATGCCCTATATTTAATTCTATATTCTTGAAGAGCACAATGCCCCGATCTATATTTGATTGAGCAATATATCTCTCATACTCATATATTTGGCTCCAAAAATTGTAAAAATACTAATCTCTACTACTGATTTTGTGAACCATTCTACCTGTACAGGCTGTACAGGAATCAAATATGTTGGAAACGGCTCAACCAAATATAGACAAACTATATAGTTTTGGAATTGGGAAATTGTGCTCTTCAAGAATATAGAACCAAATATTGTGCATCCCATTTGAAAAAAGCTGGAAGCATGCAATATTTCACATTTCTGATATTCAATTTTTGTTTCTGATTATGGATTTGAAAAATTCAGTCAAAACTGTATTTACACCTTTCATCTACTTGTGAAGGTAAAGGCTGTTAGGTGGGGTCTTAATATGTAAAAAAAAAACACCCTGTACTGTAAATTATATTGAATAAAGTTTATTTTATTTATTCTTTGGATCTCAAATTAGGATTCATCACTGTATGCAGATTTCTAGGCGCCTTTGGAATTTTCTGAACTTGAAATTTAATTCATTTCTGCAAATTCCTTGATTTTTCTATGAGAAAACCCATAATTCATGAATTTTTCTTACATTTCTTCTCTCCTATTTTCAATTTTTGTTTATTCTCGGCTCTCGAAACAAACAAAATTCAAAGAGCCTGGAATAAGAACATAAACAAAATTCATTTTGGAAGAAAAACATTAGAAAAGGGCTAGGAGTAAAAATTAAATTAAAAAACAAATCAAGAGCCTGGAAATTCTAAAATACAGGAATATGTGAATTTAAGAACTCGGAATGAAAAAATTCAAGAGCCAAATGAAAATTAAGAATTAAGAATAAAGAAATGAGGATAAAACAAACGCCTATAGAATAGGAAAAATTATGAAAATTCAAAAAGTTGAATTGGAATAGAAACATTTTCTTGTTAATATTTCCTTATTATTATTTTTAATTTTTGTCTATTCCTGGCGCTAAGGCTCTCTGAAATAATTCTGAGGTTTTTAAATAGTCCTAAAGCCTGGAAAGTGTTTTAGAACGTTCTAAATGCGACTTTACAGTAATTTCTAAATTGTTCTAACTTTTTTTTAAAGTATTTTAGAGCCCTATTGAAGCTCCAAAGTGTTCTAAATTGGTTCAAAGAAGTTCTGAAAGGTTTTCCAGTTCTAAATTGAATCCTATTTGTTCTAAAATAACTTTAAAGTTTCTAAATTGTTCCAAATTGCTCCTAAAAATTCTGATTTGCATGCTTATTAAACGTCTAAAGTTCTACAGCGTTTTATAACTTTTAACCTGAATCCCATAAGATTCTGGCATTTTTCAAAATGTTTCTATGGGGATTCTAGAGTGTTTCAGTGTTTTGAAGCGTCCTAAAATGGGTTTCAAAAATCTAAATTGTTCTAAAATGCCTTTGGAAATTGTAAATCGGTTTTTGAATGGTTCAGGGTACTCTTAAATGTTTCTGTAATATTCTTAATGGTTTCCAGTAACTTTCTAAACTGGAATGAGAAACGAACTTTTTGCGAAATTTTTGTAGTCTTGAGACGTCTTAAAGACATTTTGAAGACGTCGTATGTTACAGAACCCAACGTCTGTTTAAAGAAGTCTTTAGGACTAAAACATTCTAAGGACGTCTTCAACGAGATGTCTTAAAGACCTCTTTGAATATTTTTTCAATACATAAACCTTTAAGATGTGAATTTACGACATCTTATGGACGTCTTCTAGGCGTCTTTTTTTGGTCTTCAGACGTTCATACATATAATGCAGACCTGAAAAAGACAGTTTTTCTGTCACAATTTTTGTCTACTCCTGGCTCTTGAATCTTTCTCTAATTTTCTTGCTTTCTTCAATTTTTCAATTCAAAAGCCGGGAATAAAAAAGAAACGACTAAATTTGTAGTTTAAATTGTATCACAGAACTAGCGAGTAATTTTTGAAAGAAACCAAACACAGTATAGCAGAGAAACAAAAAAGAGGATAGGATAGTCAAAGAAATTGAAGAATTGGAAAAAGAATCCAATGACATACAGTGAAAGAATTATACAATATAAACAACTCTGTGAAAATAGGCAACGAAAAATTGGTAAAGAAATAAAGACGTACTTATAGAAGATAACCAAAACGTAAAAAACTAAGAAAAACGGAATAAATTGGCTAAAATAAAGAATTTGAAATTGAGAAAAATGGATAAAATGCTGGAAAAGATACACAAATTAAAATGATGTCTGTTTCAGTAGAAGATCGTATTCTTTGAAAATTTCAGCTCATTTGAACTTATAGTTTGAAAGGTCATAACTTTTTTTCTATAATAGATTAAAAGCTAGAATTTCCAACGATTCTTATCCCAGTAAAGGACTACAATCCCTGAAAATTTCAGTACATTTGGACTTATAGTTCCAGAAATAAAATCGTGTTGAGCAATTTGGGGTGGTTTATCAATTTTTCAATATTTCTGAGTGCCTTTTTTCATAGAATCCGGCTTCAAATCTCAGAATTATTTAGTGTGTGGAGTTTGGGGGATCCCAAACGACCATTAGGACACAAAATCTCAACAACAAAAAAATTGAAATTTCATCGTTTCAGTACTGAGGTAGGTAGCTACCTTATGATTTAGATTTTGGAAAACTTTGAAAATTCATAACTTTTTTTCTATGAAAAATAGAAAGCTGAAATTTTCAGCGATTTTTATCCCACTAGAGGACTACAATCCCTGAAAATTTCAGTTCATTTGGACTTAAAGTTCTAGAAATAAAATCGTGTTAGGCAATTTGGGGTGATTTATCAGTTTTACAATTTTTCTGAGCACTTTTTTTCATAGAATCTGGCTTCAAATCTCAGAATAATTTAGTGTGTGGAGCTTGGGGTATCCCAAAGAACCATTAGGACACAAAATCTCAACAAAAATGTTTTTGAAATTCTATCGTTTCAGTAAGAAGGTAGCTACCTACCTCATGATTTAGATTTTGGAAAACTTTGAAAGGTCATAACTTTTTTTATATTATAGATAGAAGGCTGAAATTTCCAACGATTCTTATCCCAGTAAAGGACTACAATCCCTGAAAATTTCAGTTCATTTGGACTTAAAGTTCTAGAAATAAAATCGTGTTAGGCAATTTGGGGTGATTTATCAGTTTTCCAATTTTTCTGAGTGCTTTTTTTCATAAAATCCGGCTCCAAATCTCAGAATAATTTAGTGTATGAAGCTTGGGGGATCCCAAAGGACCATTAGGACACAAAATCTCAACAAAAAAAAGTTTGAAATTTCATCGTTTTAGTAGGTACTGAGGTGGCTACCTTATGATTTAGAATTTGGAAAACTTTGAAAAGTCATAACTTTTTTTTTATTATAAATAGAAAGCTGAAATTTTCAGCGATTCTGATCACAGTAGAAGACTACAATCCCTGTAAATTTCAGCTCATTTTTACTTATAGTTCCAGAAATAAAATCGTGTTAACCAATATGAATCCGGCTCCAAATTTTAGAATAATTTCGTGTATGGAGTTTGAGGGATCCCAAAGGACCATTGAGACACAAAATTTCAACAAAAAAAAATGAAATTTCATCGTTTTAGTACTGAGGTGTAGCTATGTTATGATTTAAATTTTGGAAAACTTTGAAAGGTCATAACTTTAAACCATTGTAAAACGAAAGTTCCAACTGTTCAAAATAAATCTACTAAATTATTCAAAAATTTATTATGTATCAGTGAAATAAATAGATTACATTATTATTTAGCTCGTACGGATATTACAAAATTACCATAAACAATGGTAATTTTTTTAAAATTACCTACACACAAAACACGTAAACGCAATATAAATACTTACATCCCAAATATAAAAACGATTCAACACATTCAATAGAATTATTTCCTGTCATTAGTACCTACCTACTTAGTTTAGGAACCCCATAATAATTATGACTTTATTATATCCTTCAAATCCGAAGAAAATGAAAAATACTCTCCATATTTATAATCTAAGTTTACCTTCTGCTATAAATAAATACCAAACATCTAGGTCAAACAAAGTGTAATCATACAAACGGCAACCCAGAAGCGCAAGAAACGCAAGTTTATAAAGACAAAACCATTTTACTTTCTTCAATTTCATCGAGTCACTTTCACATGCAACCTTAACATTGTAGAATAAGTATAAGCATGAAGCAATTAATTTTGGCCAATATAATGCTGATTAAACTTGAAATAAATTGGCAATTTAATATTCCAGCAGAGTACTTTATTAGTAATTCAAATATGGAATAGTAATTAACACGCATAGGTATTGCAATTTCAAAAGGCATCATCATTTTTATTTAGTTGCGTTTTGGTTTGGTAGTTGATTGTCATAAAATACGTTGTTTCAGATATTCAAAATTAGTACCAAAATGGGATTAGGCGGACACCAACAAACAGAAGAGTACCAGTGTACCTTACCAGCCGAAGAAAAAAAGAAAGCTTTGGACGAACTTAGAGAAGATGATAACGTCAGAGAGCAATCTTTGAGCCAAATGAGAGAATGGATTAATAAACATCCGAATATTAAAAAATGTAGAACAGGTATTCAAGCAAAATAATCACGTTTGGAGAAAGTTTTAATTTAATTTGATTTTTTTGTAGATGCTCCTTTCTTATTACGTTTCCTGCGAACGAAAAAATTCAGTGTACCTTTAGCATGCGAAATGCTGGAAAGGTACTTGACCATCAGACAATTGTATCCGCAATGGTTCAGAAACTTGGATACGGAAGATAAGGATTTGGCTGAAATTATTAATGCTGGTTATTTGGTGCCTCTCCTTGAAAGAGATAATGGAAGACTGGTAAGAATAGATAAAATAAGACAAAATCAAATTTCAATCAAAAATCCTTTGTATCTCATGTTGTTGTTGTTGTTGAACTTTACCCATCATCGAATTCTTAGGTGTTATTCAGCTGCGCAGGAAAATTCGACCCGCACAAGTACACTTCTGCGCATATGGTGCGCGTGCACAGTCTAGTAACCGAAGCCCTAATGGACGACGAAATCAATCAAATCAACGGCTACACTTACATTAACGACGAGAGTGGCTTCCAAATGGCGCACATTTCCTTGTGGAGTTTGACCGACGTCAGGAACATTCTCAGATGTATCCAGAACACCACTCCGATGAGACACAAAGCGAATCATTTTTTGAATATTTCGGCTAGCGCTATCAAGTTGATCGAATTTGCCGTGTCTTTGCTTAATGAGAAACTTAAAACTAGAATTTTTGTAAGTATACCTCATAGTCTCAATCAAATTAGGTCAATATTGTCTCAATTTCTAGATGTACAAATCTGTTGAAGAACTACATCAAAAAGTTGACAAAAAGCTTCTACCTAAAGAATATGGTGGCGAAGTGCCCCTAGCTGAAATGGTAGAAAAATTCAAAGTCTTTTTAAAAGAACGACGAGAAGCCATTCTGGCTTTGGACGATATGTACATTGAAATCGACGAGAAAAGTTGTCCGCTAGTTTCGGAAATGAACGAGGAATTGGGAATTGGAATCGATGGATCGTTTAAGAAATTAACTGTGGATTAACACCAAAAAACTTGTTTATTGCATTTGATTATTGATGAATATTGTGATAGCTTTTTTCTTTTATTTTTAATTGTTTAGTTATATGTAATTAATATATTGTTGCCCGGTGGGATTTAGTTACCAAGTTTTGTTAAATCTACTGTTCAGGTTTGTTAACAGTTATTAAAGGGCTTATTTTCTTCATTAATGATTGGTTTTTGTACATTGAATTTGACATCTTCCACTAAAAATTGTGTACAATTGTTAATGAAGAAATTGGTTTATTAAGTTAATTTTAATTTTATATTGTTTATATATTTTCTTCTTGTAATTTGTTTATCAATGAGCTTTTGCAATTCATCAAAATTTTCATTGTTGCTTATTTATGTATAAAATAAAAATCTTAATAAAAGAATTTGGTTTTCAAAATTTTCTCATGTTGATTGTTTCCTATATACAGTTTTTGTATATAATACAGTTTTGTATATTTTCGTATGGTTCTCCATTCGTAGAGGTCGATCGAGTGTACGCCACTGGTATTTTCCTGTTTCTGACTATTCCTTCAACCTTTCCATGTCAGTATGAATTCAATCCTATGTACCATCGTCACCAAAAGTATCTGGGACAAAAATAATGCATAATAATCTCATGGACTAATTCTACTGTCATTAATTTCAATGCATTTGATTCATAGTTTGACAAATATTTGACAATAAAATTCATATCATAGTACAAGAGCTAATATAATGCTGTCCCAGTTACTTTTGGTGACGATGGTACATGGTGGGCCAAATTGGACACTTTCTTATGGAAACACCCTTTATTTTTAGAGATAGAAAAAAATAGACGCCTCACTCTGAGGCTCAAATTTCATGAAATCTTGATTGGTGCAAACCGCATTTTGATATCTTCAACCGTTTAGCCGCTAGAGGGCGATTCTCGATTTTGAGCAATCCTGTAAAGCCTCCATAACTTTTTTGTTTATGAAAATAATTCATCTCCGCAAAGATCTTTTTTAAGCACTTTTTCAAGCATAATTCAGTGACGTTCTCAGTTTTTTTTCTGTCTGGCTTCGATTTCCAGATATTGACCAAAATCCGATTTTTTTCAATAGGACACCCTATATATTAATAGTTCATTAGAAAGCTATGCTTTTGCTGATTTCAATGATATAAAGTTCGGTAGGTTTATCTCTAACAGTTTTCGAGAAAAAAAATTATTTCGGTTTTTGTCATAAGGAACAATGTCTTAGAAAGAGACCTTTCTCAGTTTCCTTAGGGCGGGTATTATAAAACTACTTTGAGAGTTAACTTAAAGTTAACTTCTGGATTTACATGTAATTCAAAAAGTTAACTTCAAGTTAACTGTCAAAGCAGTTTTATAATACCCGCCCTTACAGAGATAAAGTCCTTTTTCGTTCGTGTGTACGAAATGTTAAACCGTCGTGCCAAAAATCAAGCTCAGACTGAATTTTAAACCCACCATGAAACACGACGGTTTTCTACCACACACTTCGGTTTTGGAACGAAGTGTTTCATCGTGGCGATAAAAACTGTCGTGTTCCGACGTGTTTCATCGTGGCGATGTAAACTGTCGTGTTCAGTGTTGCCAGATGAATTTAGAAAAAATCGTGAGAATCGAGAAATCGTGAGATTAAAAATTGCTCAATATTGTAAGAAAATAAAGCAAAACAATGTTTTTTCATAGATTTTTGACAAAGTAAACATGATTTTACATCCATAAGAAATAAACATTTTATTATTAAATCTTGTATCCTTGTTTTTCCGTTTTTTAGCAAGTGTTTCTGAGAGCTGAACCTCGTTTTCACTATCCGCTATCCGCAGGATTGCTCATCTTAATAAGTCGTCGATTCTCGAGGCGGCAGCTGGTCTACGAGCGACGTCACAACTATCAGCAACTGATAAACTGTATTCCTTTTATACATCGAGTTATACCTAACGAGCTCCTCGGAGTCACTCCAAAACACACAATTCAGATTTTATCATTATTTTTTAATATTAACATTACCGCCATTACCTAAAAGGGCTTCTTGCACCCCCCGCAAATTTGGTGCATCAGGGGAAAGGGGGATGCACTATGAGCGGCTCGAGAGCTTACCGCACTTTTAAAAGGAACGTTCAAGCTTTTGACATTGAGCAACTCCGAGTCACTCAATGGGTAAAAGGAATACAGTAATAGTGGTGACGTCATCCACAGACCTCGATGGATTGTTTGCGATTCAGGCTGTGCTTGTGAGTTGATTTTTTTGAGAATTTTAAATTTAGAAAAGGTGATTTCACGTTTATGAATCCGTTTTTTGGTCTCGGATAATGCATTTTCTTCCAAGAGTTGAGGTCTACAGTTGACGTCACAGATAGTAGGGTCTCGTGGCTTGACACACTTTCAGCTCAATAAGCATTCCTATATTACGTTGAGTGTTCAGGCGCGCATGTACCAGGAGCGGCGTAACATAACTAAATATTGTATAGTAGATTTTTATTTCGATTATTTTCGATTACGTTATACGCTGTGTCTAGAATCCCGGTACCGGTAACACTTTTTTTACCGGTAGTTTTGATGCCGTCACGTATATGACGAACTAGGTACCCGGGATTCAAGCAAATCCCGGTAAAAAATGTAGTCGTTGGCGGTTTTTGTTTTATCAAAGTCCAACTTAACCTTACTTTTCATGTTTTTAACTTGTTTTGTTGATGTGTGAACGTAGAGTGGAGTGTTTTCGTGAGTTTATCAACGTGAAATTACTTTTGAAATGGTTTTTAATGTAGGACAAACATTTAAAAGTTATAAAGAAGTTAAAGAGACTTTGACATGTGAATTGTTCCAGTTTGTGTAACGGCCATTTGCACCCCATAACTCAAGGAATATTTAATCCAAGTGAAGTTTTGAACGTGCCCCTTGTAGAAACAGAAGTCACATTGAAAGCTTCACTTAGATCGCTTAGATCAAATATCCCTTAAGTGATGGCAAATGGCCATAAAATATCCAAAATGTGGTACCTTTTATTTTTTTTATTTTTTTTATTTTCATTTATTTCATTTATTTCCAAAAAAATTAAATACAAAATTTAGACAATTCCTTTTGTACACGATTAACCTTTCGGTTTGTGTGTGTACATATAAATCTAAATAATTTCAATAAACATAATATCTTAGTTTCAGTCAGTGTGCAAGTACAATGCTATTTTGAAGTTTTTTGTTTTTTTTTTTTTTTTATTTTTTCATTTTTTCCTTTCCCTTTTTCCTTTTCCCTTTTTTCTCCCTTTTATCAGAAACACACAGGTTTTTCAATTTTTTTCTTTTAATTATTATTATTAAGTGTATTGAGTGTATTATTGTTATTATAATATATATTTTTTTTAAAATTATTACAATAGCAAGACTAATATTTCATCTATTCTCTCATAGTGTGTTCTCAGCCATTCACTTAACTCCTTACTCCAATATTTAAATTCTCTTGATCGACTTTGTCTAAATTTAAGGGGCAATATATTTAGCACTTTGGGGCAGATATATCTGATAGATCTCTGGGTTATAGAAAAGTTTTGTGTTTCATATGGTACATTTAAGTTGGATATTGCTCTGGTTTTAATCTCATGATCAACAAAAGATGGAAATAAATTTGTTTTATGTGCAAACCTAATAATGTTTTTTAAATATAATTGTCTAACAGTTAATAAGTCCGTACTTTTAAATAAGAAATCAGTAGAAAATAGTTTACCCCTCCTTAGCATAACCTTTAGTATGTATTTTTGTGCAATTATTACTGGGTTTATAATACTTTTACAGGCAGCTCCCCAACAAATTAGGCCATAACCTATTACTGACTCTACAATAGCCTGATATACCATTTTTAAAGCTTCAACATTCAAAATATCTCTCAGCTCATAGAACTTATAAACAAGTTTCCTTAATTTTGCGGCAACATACTCCACATGTACATTCCACTTCACATGCTGGTCAATGAAAACTCCTAAATATTTAGCATTTTCCTGATTTTTTATCTTCACCTCACATTTACATGTTTGATCAGCATCACATAAGTAAGAATGTACTGTTAATTCTAACCTATTTGGAAGTCCCCGTTTATCCTTCGCAAAAGTCAAAAAAGCAGACTTGCTACTATTCAAAGTGAGAGAATTTATATCCAACCACAACTTTATGTTCTTCAGAGCATATTCTGCCTGCCGATAAGTGCTTTCCCAGGTATCACCACTGATAAGCAGAGCAGTATCATCCGCATAACAAATAACCTGAGCTGATGTCACATCACTCATACCATTTATATACATGATAAACAGAAGCGGCCCCAAAACACTACCCTGTGGCACACCATACTCCACAAGTTCCTCTTTACTACAAAATGATTTTAATCTAACTTTTTGTTCACGTTTTGTTAAGTATGATTGAATTAGGTCGTTTACTATTCCTCTAATTCCCATGTTATCAAGTTTTTTTAGTAGAGTACGATGTGCCACAGTATCAAAAGCCTTTGTTAAGTCTAAAAATATTGATAGAGTTTTTTTATTTTGGTTAAAGTTCTCAAAAATACAATCTTGTAACTTAAATAGAGCATCCTCTGTGCCACAACCCGCCCTAAAACCAAATTGGTTTGTCGAAATTACTTTGTTTTTATCGAGAAAGTCCCACATCCTGTTTTTAATGTTTGTTTCAATGACTTTACTTATAGAATTAATGATTGCTATTGGTCGGTAGTTATTAACATCCCTACGATCTCCTCCCTTGTGCAAAGGAGTTATAAAAGTGGTCTTCAATATGTCCGGAAACACTCCTTGACCAAACACAAGATTGCATATATGTACCAATGGTTTAATGAGAGTTTTGTAATGTAGTTTTATGAAAGAGTTAGAAATGAAATCGCCTGTGTTTGAATCTGATTTTTTTAACATATTAATTGCTTTGATCATTTCCTCCTCAGTCATAGGCCGCAGGAATAAGGAACTTTTCACTGGTTTTTCTTTGAAAGAATCAGGAGTCTGCTGTATTTGATTTTTAATTTTTGTTGCTAACTTTTTGCCCACAGAACTAAAAAATGTATTAAACCGATTTGCCATAATCTCAGGGTCATGACAGTCCTGACCATCCTCCAGTCTTACACTTTTTATGGTTGAAGTTTTTTTTATGTCATTCGTGGCACATTTTATGTAATCCCAAGTTTTTTTGGGATTTCTAATATGTTCCCTTAGTTTTTCCTTATAAAAATCTGCTTTGGCTTTATTTATTATTTTGGTTAATATTTTTCTATAATTTATAAAATCTCGTTTCGCATCAATATTTTCCAGATTACGACTCCAGATTTTTTTCAATCTATCCCTGTGTCTTATACAATGCAAAAGATTCAAAGTTATCCATGGTTTTAA